ACGTCTTTAACAGGAGGCGGGGTTGAAGGATGCAACAGTATGAGTATGGGGAGGAACGAGGACTTGGGGAGGGTATGGGGAGGGTGGGAAGGGGAAGGGGGGTATGGGGAGAGCAGGTGGGTGAGGAGGGTATGGGAGGGTAGGTGGGTGAGGAGGGTATGGGAGGGTAGGTGGGTGAGGAGGGTATGGGAGGGTAGGTGGGTGAGGAGGGTATGGGAGGGTAGGTGGGTGAGGAGAGAATATAAGGGAACATGGTCGTGGGAGAGAGGGAAAAGACGATAAACAGTGCATAGACGAGGGGTATTAAAAAGATGGTGGAGTGACGAGGAAGAGGAAGAAGGGAAGGATTGTGGAGGAAAGAGGTAATAAGTTGATAAGGTACATGTGAGTGACGTCACGTGCGACTGAGTGACGTTTCTAGGGTCTGAGTGTCGTCACGAGTGTATAAATAAAGTGACAAGTGTCAAGCCTGGGTGGGTGGCATATGAGCGTCAGCTGTGACACGAACATCAACACACCACAGTGAGGCGACGACCAGCATGTGTCAGTGTTGACATTGGCCAGCCTCACATAAACATGCCAGAGACACGGTTCACATATTCGTCCCGGAACTATAATATGACCTAACTGTAAATATGCTGAGAGGAGTTTTCACTTTACGAACAATACAAAACATGATTGAGTCTTTTTCCTCTTAGCATGATATAAATGTATAAGACCTTCAGTGTTTACGTAACAATGGTGTTACAATCTGTATTTACATTTTACACTGGTAGGCACTATCACAGGACCAGACGGCAATTCACTATGTAAAACAGATCTCTTAACGATATTGCTCTACTTGCAGCAGAATTTGTTGCGTCTAATTATTTTAATTGCTCCGAATCAATGAAAAAAAGAGGATCAAAGAGAAGCTGCAATATTTTTCTGTAATAATATTCATTACGCTTTCCGCGTTTGTTATTATGAAAGGGCGAACGAATGACCACATTACAGCATGTTGGAGTTTTAGTAACTTTGAAGTTTGTCACCTCATAGAAAATATTAATAACATGCTTTTTTGCATGTTTAATTATGTTAATAATAACAATAATAATAATTCAATAAATTGTAATACAAGTTTACAGCTGTATAAACATGTTTATAAACTATAGTTATACAGTTCAGTATTAATATAGACAATGTAGGTATACGGTGCACGTGGTCCGTGGGAGTATACAGTTTCCTGTGTGTCGAGACAGTGCAGGTAAACAACAATGGTAAACAGTTAGGCAACTTGACCAAGGATAGCCGACAAAGCTGTCATGTACTTATTTCCTCATTATATAGTACCCTACATTATCTTGCTGCTTATTAACAGTCAAACTCAGTCGGGAATCAATTAAGTATTAATCACTGCTGATGTACAACTGCTGCTGATACAACCTTTTACACTCGAGCATTAACCATAAACCGCATATTTTTTTTTTTTAAATTGACTGGCACTCTAAGACCACATATTAATATATGTTAGTTATTGAGACGAGGATACCATCAATGTAACGTAGAATTTCATATTTACAATATCTGTAAAAAAAAAATGAACGTGAAAGTGCCTAAAGATTTTAGTTTTAATTATTATTCTAATTTGGAAAAAAATATGTAAACAATTCGAAAATAATACTGTATTCTCATAAAAAATATTCATATTGCACGTTTACTTCACCTTCCAAAGTCTTCAAGCAAAAATTGGAACGGACGCTCCCTCCATCCTGATCATGATAATGAAATTTGGCTCAATGGAGATGTCAATGGAGTTTCCTGGTGGCGGACAGAGAAAAACATGGTTCGCGGTGTAAGAAAAGAGTTGCCGCCAACGTTACGATGCTACCTAATGTGCTATCTAAATACAGGAAAAATTACGAGCCAGTAAAAGTACAATTTGCACTTATAGAGACCACAAATTTAAGATATTCATGGGGAGACGACTGTGTGTTACGCTCTATTAGTCGTGTGAGGGAGGCGAGGTTGTCAACACGACGTACTGTACAACATTATAATACAGGAAAGAGGACTCGGGAAGAGTTGGTGATGCTCATTGGCTGTAAAACCTCTGAAACTTTTGGGAAAATCATGGTAATATCAGTAAATTGACCAGCCACAGGATGTACCAAATGAGATGAACTACCTAGTCAAGTACTTGAGCCTCAATAGACGACCAAAGAATAACAAAACAAATAAACAATAGAAACATAAAGATGGTGAAGAATTAGTCGTAAATTCTGGCAATGTATACACTCGTGTCTCTCTCTCTCTCACACCTGACGGTTCACATGTTGAAGATTTCATACAAGTCGATTAGTAATATTTCTTTGCGTTTTATTTATTGTTGGGCTTGGTTTTGTTTTTGTTTCCACTTTTAGGCACCCGAAAGCTTTATGTGGTAACGATTGCTTCTTTCTCAATGGTCACAATTCATTGCAGATCAAATTCAAGGTTACGCAAGGCATGACTCTTGTTCCGGTATACTGTTCTGCCACCTAAACACTATGAACTATATTGACTTCAGACTTTCTGGTCACATAACTGAAAGTTTCCTGTATGTGGTCGATAGGTCAGATATCAAAATCATATGTAATTTGGCCGAAATTTCAAATATAGAGCAAGATCCTAAAGAGAAGAATAACATTGGGTGATTTATGACGAACTTTGCTAACACCATCTTGGAGACGGCAAGCCACTGTACAGGGAAAGTTTCAGCATAAATAAACAGAGGCGTTACATGGATGTTGTCAGTAACTTTCCATGTGAGCTGATACTCCTGTCACTCACACCTGGTACATGTTGCTTGAACACTCTCATCCTTGGTTCCATTATCCTGCGCCTCTTGGGTGCTTTTGTCCAGTCTTTCATTGTTACTGAATCTTGAGAACAAAAATTACACACACGACGATAAAGATCCTTGATTCAACATTCATGAAAAATTGAACACCATGTCATGAAAAGTATGAAACAACTGAGTAATGTATTTGCATGTGTTCTGGGTATCAAGTTCTATCTACAGGAGCGAACACAAACGCCTGTAGAGTTTTCGTAGGTTGTATTTACTGGATAAACGAAGGTACACAAGGAAGGTGGCGCTCCTTACTCTGTATGGGGGGGTCAACTAGCCTTTCGGGCGACATGTGGTAAGTGATACATTAGCAGCTTCCATATGTCGCCAGGCACATTAATTAAGCATGTGGGACATGGTAAATACATTGCCACACGCTGCTAGCTAGGCTGAATAAATAATGTATATAAATGGAGCACATACATAATATACATACATAATATACATACAGCATACATAATATGCATACAGTATTGATCAAGTGACACGACCCAACGACCCATCCCCTGAATATTTTAAGGTGAATATCATCTAATCCCCGTAAAAAAAAAAAAAAAAGTGTTCATAAATAAAATAAAATCGGTTTTATAGTCATTACGGGTATAAATTTTCGTCACTCAATCGTGAGTTGGTAACAGTGTTTATTCCCATGTACTAAAAATCGTTTAATCTATGTTATTTTATTTTATTTTACTATGTATTTCCATAAATCTTATTATTAACATTTATCTTGCTGTATCGTCTAGAAGGCTTACATCATGTTATTACAGACTAGTAGAGAGTATAAGGTTTAAACAAGGTGCTCTCATTAACTGATATATAATCATACTTACAGAAGCGACCATTGCTGCAACAAACTACAAACACTCACCAGAACAACAATAGCGGCACGTTATAAGAAGTGCACCATCAACAACCCCCCCCCCCCGCATGCATACACTTTATCATGTATACTTCCGTGACTAATGAAAATTTTATACATATATACTAACATTAAAGGTGTATAATGTTTTAACAATGTACACCAAGTAAATGGGTTCCAAAGTGCGTGAAAAACAAGGCCTTGAAGTATGAGTTCCAAGGTGGCCAGACAGTAACACAAGGTGACTCATTGATCTAAATAATAGTGTGTTATTATATTGAAAACTTAAACGAAACGAAATGCTACAGTACGGTTATATTTTGTGTTGACATTCTGTTTTTTATTAGCACACGTTGGTACCATAAGTAAAAATGTTAAGTGAAGCGACATTTCTCAACCAACAATACTGTCTCATCTAATATACTATAGGACTAGCCGTGTGTTTGTCTGTCTGTTTTGTCTGTCTGTCTGTCTGTCTGTTCTGGGCAGCCGAAACGGCACAATTGTTTTTCATCAAACTTGGTGGAAAAATCGCAAAAAATTCGTAGAGTGGAACAAACCTGGTCCCATGTCGATGGTTTCTTTAGGAAGGCATTAATTAACCATTATATTTACAATGGAAAACGATGCAAGTCTACGGACTTGGCACACCCTAATTAACCATGCAAGTCTACGGACTTGGCGCACCCTCATTCACTGTACGCTAGCCAAGCATGAGCGTTCAAACTTTCACTGGGCACGAAGGTGCCCGCGATCATTTGTCTACTGTGTAGTCTTTAAAGTAATTTGGCTCCTGTTAACGATACATACAAAGCTGTTATGTGTTGTTATGTTTTGAGTCATGGGGGTTTACAGTAGATTCAGGTCCATCCATAAGTACTTTATCCTGTGCATGCAGGTGTATAATAAATCCGCTCGTTGGTTTAAGTGTTTGTGTACTCTTAGAATGTTATTTTGTTGTTACATCTTTTTTGTGAACTTGTAAAAAGGTCACGTGTGAGTATTGTGTGTTTGTTATTTACTTTATTTTTTAAGCACAAATGGAATGATGTATATGATGTAAAACACACACACACACACACACACACACACACACACACACACACACACACACACACACACACACACAAATTCACTCACTCACTTATCTACATCTACCTAACTATCCCTCCCTACCCCAACAGATAAACATCACCCAGGTTCTGTGAAACGAGTGTGGACGCGAGAAAGAGAGCGAGACATAAAGAACTATTTTCTGTTCCTCAGGTGGCCGGGAGGAGACGGGCAGAGGTAAATGAACAGAGGTGGTCGACTGTCCGCTTCTGCTGCGCACTGGACACACCAAGTCGTCTGCTAGCCCACACTCCCTCACGGTGAGTCCTACAACAGTCAAGCACAACACTTTATCTATAATGGCAAGATAGCTGACATATTAAGATTGTAACCATTTTTTGGCACTAAGTAGCTATATCATTTCCCATGTCTAAAACCAAACACACAATATGCTTCAATAACTCTCATGCAAATGCGAGTAACGAAGTGTGCGGCCAGACATAATGCCTCACACTCCTGTACTCACACAGTTGTGAATAAGTTACTCTCTATCTACAGAACTAAAAAAATATATATTTGAAATACTCTGACATTCAATGCCATAATATCCTGACCGTGGGGGCTAGTTATGCACATCCTTTGTGAATTCTACTCGGTAATCCTTGTTCTCTCCCGCTCACATGACGAGTATGGGGTGCACAATAAACTAGCCACTGTAAAAGGCCCAAAAAAAATCACTACAGTTGGCTTGACATTGTACGGCAGGGGGGGGGGGGGTGAGAGGAAGGGTGAGGGAGAGAGGGGGGATGAAAATAGTAAGTGAGGGAGGGTACAAGAGGGTGAGGGAGATGAGAGGAGGAGCGGGAAGAACATGGGAGGTGGGGGTGGAGATTTAGATACGGGGGTGTGGCTGGACAACAAGGAGGAGAGAGAGAGAGACAGAGACAGAGTTCACTTACTCTTAATCGATAGAACTTTTTGAGTCAGAAACTTAATTGCATAAAGTTGGACGAAGCTTTAACAAATATCACCAGGAAACACAATAACAACTACAACCACTGCATTAACAATAAGCATTACAATAACAACAATTACACTACAACAAGATCAACAACCACTATAATGACACCAACAAACTTAATAATAACAACAACCACTACGATAACAACTAACAACATAGAATAACTACAAAACTAACAACAACCTCTTCAATAAAACGAATTACTATAATAACAAGCACTACAGTAATAGCCATTCCGTTAACAATAACAACATCTACAATAACAACAACCACCACAACAATAGCAACAAACACTACTAACATACAATTACAATAACAACAAAAACCATTACAATACGAATAACCACTTCAATAACATCCACTATTATAACAACAACAACAACAACAACAACAACAACAACTACAACAATAACACCAAAAACAAGAAATGTAAAACTCAATGAGAGACATTTTACATAATCTTGAAAATGCTGACCCCATTTACTATCCAAATTTTACTACTACCACCACTTCAAATACTAGTGACTATTACTATCATCACGACAGTATGAAGGAAGAGTCCAAGTTTATACACTATACATCATACGTAACTCCATTGCTGTCATTCATACAACAAATGATAAATGCAGCTCAATTATATAAATCTTTCTAAAACTCACTGTAATGGTGGGTGAATCGGCCAGCTGTTTGGTTCAATGCACTTGAAGAATGAATGGCAATGACCTCAAAGTGTGTGTGTGTGGGGGTGTTGATGGGTGGGTTTGCGGGATGGATGGGTGTATATATTGGTGGGTGGGAGGGTGGATCAATTGGTGGGTGGGAGGGTGGTGGATATTGGTGGGTGGGAGGGTGGTGGATATTGGTGGGTAGGTCTGTTGGCGTGAAGGAAGGTGTCGTATAGTGTGGATGGGAGGAGCCCTGGGTGGCGTGGGTCTGTAGGTCACTTGTCAAGGTTTCTCTCTTAACAGAAGGTTGGATACTGGATCAATACCTTTGGCCCACATGTTTAAATTTCACACTGATTTTTCTCCTCTAATTGTGTCTCTGGGTTTTGATAAGTGTCACGCGAGTCATGTTATAAGACCTGGTGTGTAGCTTCTACAGTCGCATATTTTCTTTTGAAATTTCCTTATATTTGAGCTACTTACAAAATAAAGGAGCCAATATCCATTCTAAGTTGAGCCAATTTCCCGTTAAAGTTAGGTTAATTTAGCCAAGAATTTAGTAACTTTCTACCCGATGGTGAGTCAGGAAAGTTGGTTAATTTTCTAAGTTAAGTCAACTTCTGGTATCGGGAGAGTGAAGTTGTGGCAACGATGAACCGGTTACCAAGACCTCCAGGAATCATATCCGCAGTGTAGTGGTTGAGAGGAAGTGGGTGTGGCGGAGGCATTTATAACTGGAGATAGTATCAGTAGTCTGACAGTGCGGTGCTGTAGATTATGTAACAATAACGCACAACTACTTGTAAGTTCGTGTAAGTTGACCGCTGCATGATAACCCGTCACTCACGAGGCTGAGTAACAAAATGAGTTAGGGGCGGAAAGTAATCCTCCTGGAAGGGTGAAAGCTCACACGACAGAGTGGCAGCCACAAAACATCAACTATTCAAAACAACAACATGTAAAGTAACTGTATCATGACCAACAGGCCACTGAGCACGTCCTACATTCCCATCCTCTACCGCGGCAGACTACTTCTTAACACCTCTTTCAAGTCAGACACTCCACTCGCTACTTCACTGATTATCACCAATTTATCTTTCAATCTGTGTGTATAAAAGTAACTTATCTTTACTATTATGTTCCCATTGATTCTCGCCAATAGAACCTCTTTCCACTTTTTATACACCACAACCAATCTACTGAGTCATGATAGTGACAATAAATATCTACCACGGTCCTTTAACTAACAGTCTACACCGTACAAAGCAAAGGAAGCAAAGTTCTGTCTAATCTGATATTGTGAACACTGTAGACTGTTTCACGACATTGATATATAACGCAGTATATCGTATATCATCAGTGGATGACAATTTCTGGTTCTCCTTAGCTATAACGATACAAAATTATGATTGGATCTCATAAGTATACACTGCAGAATATTTCACTCCACCTATTGTACCATTTTCTTATGTTCGACACAGTACCGCGTTGGCCGACTGAAGCTTCGTGTTTATGAAGCGTATGCAGGAATCCTGTCATTCCTTACTGATCTCTCTCTATCTCTCTCTCTCCACACACACACACACACACACACACACAGAAGGGAGAAAAAGACTGATAAATGATAAAGCTTGACAACCCATGGAGGTACAGAAGACATAAGACCATCAAGGCTACTGAACTCATTACTCATCAATCAGGTGGCGGAGCTGTCGAGTAAGATACACCACTCGAGCGCCGACAAATTTAATCATAAACGTCCATTAACAAACTAAGTCAGCAGCACCTGTTATCTTGACGCCTGTTTAGTGATTCATAATGTTAACAGAAGGTATTTCAGAATGCAAGATTGAAATTAGTATGTGGTATCTTAATTGAGAATGCATAATGTCCACACGCATAACACTACCTAAAATTACCACGACGCGGGGTGGGAGGTCTATATTTAGAACACATTATAATTAGATTCTTGTCAATAACGTAAACAAGAAGACGAATAGTCAAATGAAAAAAATACTTCATGTCGAAACTCACAATAAATACGGGAATTGTTTTTGTTTTTGTATTGTTTTTTAAGGAGAGGGAAAAGAGTGGAGAGGAGACAGCTAGTAACTCGGCCGAGACACATGTTTATAATGCAGATCACCAGACAACACGAGACGACATCAAGCAGACAAAACGAATATCACCAGGCATACAAGACGTCACTAAGCAGACAAGACGTCACTAAAGACAAGACGTCACTAAAGACAATACGTCACTAAGCAGACAAGACATCATTAGGCAACAAGTGAATCACCATGTAGGCAGATTGTCACCAGGAAACTTCCAACACTTAAAACACCATAACTGCCTAACATTAACGCCATTAGTTAGGGAGTAAGGACCACATAAGAACACACTGCACCACCACCGGTGTCACCTTCACTACCATTCAACAACACCGTCACAATTTCCACCACTAGCGGTCCACCACCATCACTATCATCACCATAACAGTCATCACCACCACCACCACCACTAGGTAGCAAGATAGTGCCTGGTGAGGAGGAACAGTAGTGCCACGCCACTTTAACCTGTCACATAAACCCCTGTCGTAAGTCAGCAAGAGCAGCGGAGTAGAAGGTGGACACAGGGGGCGAGGACGGCACTAACACAGGGGATGAGGGGCGGCACTAACACAGGGATCGAGGGGCGGCACTAACACAGGGGATGAGGGGCGGCACTAACACAGGGGATGAGGGGCGGCACTAACACAGGGGATGAGGGGCGGCACTAACACAGGGATCGAGGGGCGGCACTAACACAGGGGAGGGGCGGCACTAACAGGGGATGAGGGCGCACTAACACAGGGGCAGGGGCGGCAACACAGGGGCGGGACAGGCACTAACACAGGGATGAGGGGCGGCACTAACACAGGGGATCGAGGGGCGGCACTAACACAGGGAGGGCAGCACTAACACAGGGATGAGGGGCGTCACTAACACAGGGCGAGGCAGCACTAACACAGGGGGAGGCGGCACTAACACAGGGATGAGGGCGCACCAACACAGGGATGAGGGCAGGGCACACTAACACAGGGGATGAGGGCAGCACTAACACAGGGGCGAGGGGCGGCACTAACACAGGGGATGAGGGGCACTAACACAGGGGCGAGGGGCAGCACTAACACAGGGGATGAGGGGCACACTAACACAGGCGAGGGGCACTAACACAGCACAGGGATGAGGGGGCACTAACACAGGGATCGAGGGGCAGCACTAACACAGGGGATGAGGGCGCACTAACACAGGGGCGAGGACGGCACTAACACAGGGGATGAGGGGCACTAACACAGGATCGAGGGGGCACTAACACAGGATCGAGGGGCGCACTAACACAGGGGCGAGGAGCACTAACACAGGGGATGAGGGGCGGCACTAACACAGGAATCGAGGGCGGCACTAACACAGGGATCGAGGGGCACTAACACAGGGGCGAGGGGCGGCACTAACACAGGGGATGAGGGCGGCACTAACACAGGGATGAGGGGCGGCACTAACACAGGGGGAGCGGCACACTAACACAGGGGATGAGGGGCGTCACTAACACAGGGATCGGGGGCACACTAAGCACTAACACGGCACTAACACAGGGGAGGGCACAAGGGATCGAGGGGCGGGCACTAACACAGGGGATGAGGGGCGGCACTAACACAGGGGATGAGGGGCGGCACTAACACAGGGATCGAGGGGCGGCACTAACACAGGGGGTGAGCGGCGGCACTAACACACACTAGAGGTCCTCATTCATTACCGCTCCCACATACTGCATCAGGTTACTCACGTTTGCTCTGAATGGAAGCTGTACAGGCCCAGCAGTAGTGAGTAAGCGGCTTATAACCTTCAGACGCGTGCCTGCCCGTGACCATACACCCAACACTTGGATTCTCAAAAGGTCGTATGCTAAATTCCCTAACCCCCCCACCCAACTTATTGGTAATATAAGAAAGTATAGTTTCAAAATAAAGCTGTTTTCATAAGCGTCGTAGATTTTGCAGGGAAGTTCTGTCCTACTAGAGACTCTTTATCTTTAGTTGAGAAAAATATCGACTTACGATTCTCTGAGATACCGATTGATTACTTTTTAACATCTCGCTCGCATTTTATTGTAATATTATGCTGTATAAAGTAGTTAAAATAATTCACCATATGTGTTGTTACGCTCGTACAGAGAAACTATCCGTATCACTGTATGTATCACTCACTACTTTGTTCAGCAGTCGGATACCGCGTGAGGGTATATGAGGTCAGCTAATATTATTCCCCCAACTCCTATAATTCCTATCTACTGTAATCACCACCGCACTTTAACCGAATAACTCAACATCAGACTTAACTAACCCACCTCAATGTAACCTCAACAGAGTAGCGGCATGGATACTAGCTGACGTCACTGATGGGCGAGGACCAATCACCGACGGTCAGGCTCACACACACGTGAATTTTGTCGAATTGGACACCACCGAAAAGGGAACAAAGCCAAGTCATCCGGGAGATTCTCTTTTGGGGCCTCAAGGGAGCAAAACAGAGGAACAGAGGAGCGAGCTGCTGTGAGAAAGGGGAAATAGCTCTCGTCTGGTCCCGAGATGAGAAATTATCAGTTCATAGCTCTAAGACGGAATTGTAGAGTCTCTCAACGACGAAGGGAAACTCGTATTGTCTTTGCCTACTCCGTCTCCTTCATCTTCTGAGAGAGAGTGTTTAGTTTAACAACTTTAATGGCAAAGCTTGGAGTACAATTTGCCTATTCTGAATAAGTGAGTCACGTCTTGACACTGAGGGTGCTATCACTTCTCACTGCCACGCAGGACAGACGTTCATACACAAAGTAACACTATTCACTGCCAGGCAGGGGAGAGAGAAAGAGAGAATGAATTAAAAAAAAAACCCACAGCTGATAAAAAAAAGTGACAACTGGTGACAGCTGGCATACGAGCAGGACACATGAGACCCTATATTATACAGTGGTCCCCAACCTCTCTGTGTTAGGGGTCCGCACTCGTGTGACAGGGCCGTACTTCAAAATTAGAAAGTGAATAGATTAGTTACTTACCTAATCACCAGTTTAACGAAATCGTGTATGAAAATTATTACACTTAAATAATATAATTTATATCAATGCACTATTCTAAACTTCACTTGATAAAAGACTTACGAAATTTAGTGTTACTAGCCTTTACAGAAGGCTGGACAGCCGCACGAAAAGGGTTCAGGGCCGCATGCGGTAACTTCTCGTAACTAGGGACAAAAGAGCACATCCAAGTGGTTGATTTTATGCTGCAATGAACAAGAAAATGGCGACAATATTGCAGAGGAAACTATCTTCATCAGATACGTTCTTGGCACACAAGTTAGAGGATAAAATCATTGTACGATATATATTTTTTTTTAGTCCTGTCTCTCACAGACTTCGTTAGTGAATTATCTGCTTGGTTAACTTCAGCCTCGGCACAAAGGAGTCGATGGTACGCTGAGTACTCCATGAAAGTGAGATACGTTTATTCATATCTAATTTATCAAAAATTCAGACCCGAGAGAAGAATGGTCAGAAGAACTCGACTACGATACATTTTTATTGAGTGACTAAGAAGGTAGACGAGTAGAGCTGATGAAGCGGATTCATGTGGCTGTGAAAGTCGGTCTGAGAGGCTATGAAGGCTGATCTACAGTACCTGGCTATGAAAGTGCATCTGTTTGGAAACGGAGATGGGTATGGGTGGCTGGTGTGAGTATCTAGCAACAAGGAACCAATGAGGCAAGTGTACTAGTAAGAACGTACTTACGGAGGTGGGTGTTGCAATAGACGGCTCCTCCCTATATATGTGTCATTCTGCCGTGTACCAAGTGTATATAGATTGCCAATAGTGTTGACGGTCAGAGTACTCTTCTTCAGAATGTGAGGCCAACACGCTTGTTTTTAACTGGTTGTCTGATGGTCGATGGTAGTCGTGAAAGGGATGGTGGTGGTAATGGTGGTATCTTGATAAGGGATGGCGTTGTTGTTGTTGTTTTGTGTGTGTGTATATTAACCCACCTTTAGAATGCTGACACAATCCCCACTGAGTGAAAAATATTCTCGTACTCAAGGGAGAGGGCGGTGTCGTACTCAAGAGGTTTAAAGAGTTAAGACTTCGCACTCGAGGGATTGAGTTATTATACGCAAGGGGATGAAGGCGTTGTGCTCAAGGGATTATCTTACTCAATGAACTAAATACACTGTACTCTGAAGGTTTTCATCGCACTGAAATGGTTAACACATGCACGCCATATTCTCACATGCGTAACACTCACTACGCAATATTCCCCAATGCGTCATACTCTCACAAGCGTAATTTACAAGTAAATGACATTTAAGAGAGTTTAATACACTAATGGAAGTGCAATTAAGTTTTTAGTTGCGCTTTATTACTGTTTTATTGTGATGTTCGTACATAAAAACTTTAATAACTATTAATATTTGTCCACGTTCTTTCTATGTGGTTCACTTGTTTCTTTCTTATTTACTTTTCTTTCTTCTTATTTCTATTATTTTCTAACTATGACAATCACACGACACTGCTTCGCTTTATGGTCGATTGTTATGAAACTTTTATACAGTACATTCACAACACCGGTGACTGCTAGGACGAGTCTCCGAACTGAACTCTCTACCCACAGATGGCGTTGTTCTCGGTACTGTATCAAACCAATGTATAAAGGAACTAATCATGATTTTTATATTAATCCAATATGCCTTATTATTTTTTCTAGAGGGTTGGGAGAATCATCACACTCGATCGATGCCTTAATGTTTCGATCGATATGCCTTAGATTTGGTGGTGGGTTGTCATGGCTTTCTTGGCCAGATGACAGAAGGGGAAAGATCAGCAGATGTCGCCAAATAATTTTTTTTTATCAGCCATTCCTTTATCTTTCGATTAATCAACAGATACTTAAACTAATACTAAAAAAAAAATATTTAAAGATGTTAACATATGCAGATTGCAGATTATTTTGCATGGTATATCTATGTAGAGTTTGTTTGATAGTGTTGTGGTCAATGTATGGTGGCGTATGATGTACTGCCTAAATTTACCTTCGTTGTGGTAGAATGAAAAATTTTAAGAGTTTTTAGCCATATAGAGTTCTTATGCTCTCAAGGTTATATAGATCAAGAGTCAAGGTCACGATGTACAGAACTCAAGAAGCCAACACTCTTAAGTCTAAGGAAGGAAGGAAGGACGGAAGGTGTTACTGATCGCACAACACACATACAGTATGTTTACAGTGCCAGCCCTTGTAACTATACTGTCTCTCTCTCACGGTACAAAGGTCAAGGCTGTAACGCTGAGTTAACCTCTCTCTCTCTCTCTCCACTTTTCCTTTTTCTCTCCTCTCTCAATCCATTGCTCCCTCTACCCTCTCCTCCTTCCTTTCCCACTCTCCTCAAATCCCTCACACTTCCCTTCACTCTCCTCCCCCCCTCCTCTTCCTCCTCCTCCCCCCCCTCTTTACCCCCACCCCCCATCGTCGTTAACAATTATCTTCCAACTCTTTTCTTGTTTTTGTAGCGTTAATAAGAACGACCTGTAAGATGGTAGGTGGAGGCCTTGGGATGTAGGTGCAGGGCGGGCAAGAGAGGTTGGTAGAAGCCGTGGGAGGTACAAGTTGTCGGTGAGAGGTAGGAGGAAGACGCAAGAGGCAAAAAGAAGTCGTGAGACGGAGGTGGAGGCCAGTAGAGGTATAGGTAGAGGTCGCGGGAGGCTGGGGAGGTTGAAACACGATACAGAGCCACCGACACTGTCTTTTAGAAAACAACTTATTATTTTCTCTTGTCTGCTGCCGCTTGATCTTTTACTTTTTTTTCTCGTTTTTTGTCCCTTGATGGAATTAATTCTCTATTTTTAATGTGATCTTTCGTATGTATTATTTCTCATTCTTTCTTTCCCCGTTGTTCTCTTCGTTTTTCTTTCTCTCTCAGTTTCTTTAACTTTGTTCATGTCGACGTATTTAACACAGCCACCCAAGTAGTAAACAGAGCCATCCTAGTAGTAAACAGAGCCACCCATGTAGTAAACACAGCCACCCGGGTAGTAAACACAGCCACCTAAGTAGTAAACACAGCCACCCAAGTAGTAAACACAGCCACCCATGTAGTAAACACAGCTACCCAATTAGTAAACACAGCCACCCAAGTAGTAAACACAGCCACCCAAGTGGTAAACACAGTCACCCAGGTAGTAAACACAGCCACCCAAGTAGTAAACACAGCCACCCAAGTAGTAAACACAGCCACCCAAGTAGTAAACACAGCCACCCAGGTAGTAAACACAGCCACCCAGGTAGTAAACACAGCCACCCAGGTAGTAAACACAGCCACCCAAGTAGTAAACACAGCCACCCATGTAGTAAACACAGCTACCCAATTAGTAAACACAGCCACCCAAGTAGTAAACACAGCCACCCACAGTAGTAAACACAGCCACCCAAGTAGTAAACACAGCCACCATGAAGTAAAACACAGCCACCCATGAGTAAACACAGTAAACACAGCCACACACCACCCATGAAGTAAACACAGCCACCCAAGTAGTAAACACAGCTACCCAAGTAGTAGCCACCCAAGTAAACACAGCCACCCAGGTAGTAAACACAGCCACCCAGGTAGTAAATACAGCCACCCAAGTAGTAAACAGAGCCACAAGTACCTAGGTAGTAAACAGAGCCACCCATGTAGTAAACACAGCCACCCGGTAGAACACAGCCACCCAGGTAGTAAACACAGCCACCCAGGGTAAACACAGCCACCCGGGTAGGCCACCAAGTAGTAAACACAGCCACCCAAGTAGTAAACACAGCCACAGCCACACCCAAGTAGTACAGGTAGTAAACAGAGCCACCTAGTAGTACCACCCAAGTACAGCCACCGTAAACACAGCCACCCAGGTAGTTGTGCCACCCAGGTAGTAGTAGTAAGCCACAACACAGCCACCCAAGTAGTAAACACAGCCACCCATGTAGTAAACACAGCCACCCAAGTAGTAAACACAGCCACCCAACACAGCTACCCAAGTAGTACAGCCACCCACAGCCACCCAAGTAGTAAACACATAGTAAGTAGTAAACACAGCCACCCAGTAAACACAGCCACCCATGAAGTAAACACAGCCACCCAAGTAGTGAGAACAAGTAGTAAACACAGCACCCACCCAAGTAAACACAGCCACAAGTAGTAAACACAGCCACCCAAGTAGTAAACACAGCCACCCAAGTAGTAAACACAGCCACCAAGTAGTAAACACAGCCACCCATGTAGTAAACACAGCCACCCAAGTAGTAAACACATCCACCCATGTAGTAAACACAGCCACCCAAGTAGTAAACACAGCCACCCAAGTAGTAAACACAGCCGCCTAGGTAGTAAACACGCACAGGTGAGGCCTCTGTTTTCTTAAGACTCATTATCAACCTAATTGCCTCCATGATTTGTTTACAGAGAGGAAGGTTTTGCACAACCCTGGATAATTGGGGCGTTTAACTTGTTCCAGAAACCAGAAACACGTACCTCCTCCTCCTCCTCTCTCCTTTCCTCTTGTTTCTTCTTCTTCTCATGTTGCTCCCTCTTCTTCCTCTTGCTCCATTACCGTTTCATTCTCTTTCTTCTGCTCTTTCCTCGCCTTTCTCCACCTTCCCATCCACATTTTTTTCTTTCCCTTCTACGCCTCTTCATCATCTCTCTCCTTCTTTTCTTACCTTTCTTCTTCCTCGTTTTCCCTCCCTTTTCCTCCCTCTTCCTTCTCCTCCTCCTTATTCTTCTTACTTTCCTCCTCTTCGTCATTCCTCTTTTTTCACCTCCTTTCTCCTCTTACTTCGCCTCCCTCTCCGACTTCTCATCTTTCTCCTCTTCCTCCTCATCTCTCTCCTCATCCTCCTTCTCCTCCTTCTCCTCCTTCTCATCCCTCTCCTCCTCCTCCACCTTCTTCCTCTACTTCCCTGTTCTCTTCATCTCTCCCTCTCACCTCCATCCTCGTCCTCTCCCCTTACTCCCCCTCCTTCCCCTTCGATAACTAGAACAATGTAAAATCCTGGCTCCATTTTGAGAGAGAATAGCGAGAGCCAACGAGAGTTCTTTATATTTTCATATAAATAAGAATTTCATTTTTTTTTTTTGCACGTCGACCCGTAAATGGAAGGAAAAAGATGATGGTTATCTTTTCCTTGCATATAACAGATTCACACGAAATATATACATTTTTAAAGAGTTGAATAATATGCGATGTACAGATAGACTTAATACTCTTGATAACTAGGAAGGAACGTATAAGATTAAAATACAGGATCTTAGTAGAGAGTATGTATGTATGTACAGTATGTCTGTATGTCTGTATGTATGTATGTATTTATATATGTACAGGTCGTAAAAATATATCATTACTTTTTTTCCATATTTACAACTTGAAACTTTGGACGAAATACTTTGATATGTTCCCGAGTACATCGTCGTATGCTGGTATGCCTGCGCCCCCATACACACTACATGGGGAGCACACAGACACACACACACATACATATATACATACAAAAGTGTTACCAGCTGCTAATTTGATCCACACAGTAGATAAAGACACATACCAATACCTGTGGTCGACTGTACCAACCATTCCGAAACTAGTGGACTAATACTGCTCACAAAACCACTTGGCACATCGACCTCAGGGGTGAAGATACTTTTTTGGGAGGATTGTATGTACGTAGGGGTGGATAGATGAGTCAAGGGAATAGTATACACATTAACACACTTTGGATGGATGGATGGATGGATGGATGGATGGATGGATGTTTTGAATTGATGGATTGATGAATATATGGGAGGAACGAAAGACACAAAATTCTGAATTAAAATCTGATTAAGCAAGGTAAGAGTAACAAAGGCAAGGCTATGTTAGATCAGGTTAGGAAGGGATAAATTAGGTCAAGTTATAGGTGAGTGTAGCTTAGGTTAGATTAATTTCGACAAGGGTAGTTTAGGTTAGGTTAGATAAGCTCTTAGGTTAGGTTAGGTGTGTCAGTGCTGTGTCATTTCACTGCTCGGAGGACCTAGTGGCTAGTGTACACAGCCACTAAATGAGAGGAGTGAACTCTGGTCACGTTCAAGGGAAATTCTATGTGATTGATTCTGTCTCTCCGTGTGTCTCTAGCTCTTGTTACTGTCTCTTTCTGTCTGACTGCATCTTTGCATCTTTTTCTTCTCCTCACTTTTTTTTCTTTTATTTAGGCATTTAACCAGTGAGTCATTCTGGAGTTCCTCTTAAGCTAACATAAACCCGTGAGATAACATGGACTCATCCCCTGTAAAACAACATTAAACCTGGAAGACATGATTAAACCCCTCTTCAAAAACCCGTAAGAACATGCCGAGTCTCTCTACAATCCGGAAAACAACACTGGAGTCCTCTTAGAAAAACAGCATGGAGACCATTATCGAATCACCTTAAACCCGTGAAATAGCGTTGTGCCTAAGACTCAGAAGAGAGCACTGAACCCTCTGTAAACTCAGGAAACGCCGATGAACCCTTTGTATCCATGCGAAGGTGCGTTGAGGACTTTTTAAAGCCAATAGACAAGGTAAAGCCCTTTATAACCCCAGTAGAGAGCGTTGAGCTTCTATCAAACCCCGGGAGACAGTTTCGAATCCCCTTGAAAAAAAATCTAAACCAGCGTGGAGCCACACCCCCCCCTCCCCCACTCCAAACCCCCTTAAAACATCGCTAAATAAACGAGAGGAGGTGAAGTCCCCGGAGGCCAATAACGAGCCTTCCGCAAGAGCCGATGGTGATGAGGCCAAAATACGAGACAAAATTTGCAAGTATTTTCCCCGAGTATTGAATATCGTATTCCGATATCCGAAGGTGAGGCATCACGGTCACCGGCCACACGACACACACACTCACCCTCTTGTCACAAAACTTCCGTGACATTTTTGGTATCGTCAATTCACTCCCTCTATGCTATTGTTAACGACCTGTCAAGGAAAAAATAGGCGGCGTCCATAAAACTTCAGAGAGATAATCACATGTAAAAAATAACAAGACACACGGGAAAATGATGATATAAATCTTGAAGCATTATTATACACAGAGGGTGAGGGCGACATAATGAACGCCGCCAAGACTTTGTCACCGGAAGAAAAGAAATATTTATTAGAGAGAAGAATGTCTGTCACCTCAAGTGCCGTCTGCCACTAGAGTGTGGGAGATGACAAGGCTGGTATTGTGAGGACACGGCTGGTGGTGTGAGGAAATGGCTAGTGTTGTGAAGACATAACTGGTGTTGTAGAGACACGGGTGAAAGTGTGAGGACACAACGAGTATTGTGAGGACATAACGGGTGTTGTAGGGGCGCAGTGAGTGTTGTGAGGACACAGGTTGGACATAAATCAGCAGTTTCGGGCCTTGGGTCATTACCCCAGACGTCCCCCGCTGAATGATCGTGACGCCCAAGTCGTTAGCTGACCACCAGGCACCAGTGACATATACTAGGGCTGAGGCGAATGACACAAGTTTAATGATTCAATTACCAATTATCCCATGACCAGGAGCGCGACCCGAATTTAGATATATATTTTTTAACAAATACAACTTTGTGTTCAATATTATTACAAACACTCCTGAACTACCTTCAACAACACGCACTGGCTTGTATCATAAAAAGTGTGTAGGTCCTGCCCTGGCTGACAGTGAGTGAAAAGGTGCTGAAATCGACCTATTTTCCCAATGTTCTTTCAGAGGGCAAAGTCTCCAGGCAAAAAAGTTAAACCTTCCAATACTTATCAAAGAAGTGAGTCATTCTTACTTTAAACACACATACACACACACACAGACACACACACACACATATATATATATATATATATATATATATATATATATATATATATATATATATATATATATATATATATATATATATATATATATATCATGTAATACAATGAAAACGTGGATAAGATAAATCTTGATAAAATCACAGGTCACCCTGTATATTTAAAGCCTCTCTCTGTCCATGTAATCCAGTTGCCTCTGAAGATGTCTTGAATAAAGACGAAAGCTAAGGTGTTCCGTTGTTTCCCTTTTCCCGTGTGATTTTATCAAGATTTATCTTATCCACGTTTTCATTGTGAATTACATGATATATATATATATATATATATATATATATATATATATATATATATATATATATATATATATATATATATATATATATATATATATATATATATATATTTATATATATATATATATATATATATATATATATATATATATATATATATAAAACTTTATATTAATGTAACTATTTATATATGTGTCTATGAATCAACAGTCATCAAAGAATTACTAAAATATTCTGTAAATGAAATCGTTACCGGTACAAAACCATTGCAGGAAAATATTTCAGAAATATGGCAAAGTTAGATTGGGTTATGCAGTTACACATACCCAGAGGAAGTGCAGGAATATTTGCCCGGAAATTCACCAACTCAACGCCCAGTAAAAGAGAGAGAGAGAGAGAGAGAGAGAGAGTGTGTGTGTGTGTGTGTGTGTGTGTGTGGAGGGGGGGGGGCGGGGCGGGGGAGGAATTATAGATTGGTGTTGAGCAAAATAAACCTCTATATTGCTATTGAATGATTAACTCATTTACACACAATTGCAGGGTCTCAATTGTTTCTCTTACTATTGACAACACAACATACATATATCATTTCTCACTCTCGATATTTTTTTTAATTACTTATGGCTCATTATTATTATTATTATTATTATTATTATTATTATTATTATTATTATTATTATTATTATTGTTATTATTATTATTATTATTGTTATTATTTTATTATTATATTTTCGCCCCCCAGGCCTTGATGTGGGTCATTAAAATTGACCTGTGCCCGGGTGGGCTAATGCTACTGGAACAATAGTAGTGGCAACTCCGCATCTGGCAACTAAAAATAATAAAATAATAAATGTGAAATGAAATAAAAAGTTACGATGAAAAATGAAGAATTATTAGTTATAAAATGCATGAGAAAACACGACATAACAAGAGATAACGAATTAAGTTAGAACATAGCAGGTGAAACACAACTCAAGTCATGGAGGAACACGGTAAAACAGAGAATGAAGCAGATGAATAGAGAGAAAACGGTGTGTGAGGGGGTCCTAGTTGTTCCAGGACAGGTATTGTGTGTGTGAAGCTTTGGGTGTGAGGAATGCACCCAGAGACGACTTACTCAACACACAACACAAAGGAACATACACACGAGGTACAAAACACCACAAATGGCGTTTATTGACGTGCAAATTACAGTGTGTTGATACAAGGAATACAAATCAATAGTTATTCTCCTATAGACACACTAGGATATTAAAAAGACGCATATCATCAATTCATTATAAACAACATAAAATCTACCTCTACCTCTTTATAATACACATGCATGATACTATATCTGATCAACTAACGTAACATTATTAGTCTCCTGTGAATCGAAGGTTGATAAAGCGTCGTTCACGATTATCTCAAGAGCTCGTTCCTCCCCATCAGTAAATTCCTTCAAAACAAACTAAATGTTCCTTTCAGAGACCTCCTGGAGTAGAGTGAGTTAGTGAGTGAGTGTGTGAGTGAGTGAGTGAGTGTGTGAGTGAGTGAGTGAGTGAGTGTGTGAGTGAGTGAGTGAATGTGTGATACAACCCAGCAGCAACTATACTAAAATCAGTTATTTTACCACTACTAGATTTTATCACCGAAGATACAATGGAAGATAAGATGACCTGACCTGACCTGACCTGACCTGACCTGACCGAACCTAACCTAAACTAAACTAACCTAAACTAAACATAACTAGCCTAACCTGACCTGACCTGACCTGACCTGACCTGACCTAACCTAACCTTTGCTCCTCCTACGTCACAGTGAAAATGAAAGACTACACTACAAGTATGATTGGGATAGTTACCTGTATTTAAATTCCTATACCTGTAGCTACAAGAACTACAGGAGTACAGCGAGATACATATATTGTAGCTTAGATTAGGTTAGGTTAGGAAATTCAGGTCAAATATAGGTCAAATTTGTGAACCTAAAAACATCAAAACTTAAGGTTGTACATAAAAGTTTAGGCAAAACTCAATAAAACGTAAACGGCTAAGTGAGAAATTCTAACGATAAAGGGTAAAATGTTCGTAAGCTTAGGTAAAACTTTAGCGATAGAAGGTAAGACTTTACAGAGATATTTCAAACTATAGCGACATTTAGTTAATATTTTAGCGATAAACGTTTGAAACTCGGTAAGTTCAAAAGGTGAACGATTAAATGTAAAATTTTATAGGCAGTTAATAAACCTTAAGCGGGGAAGGTCAAGGTTTAAACGTTAAGCGGAAGAAAGCGAACCAATAATCAATAAGACTAAAATGATAATAAAAAAGAAAATGGGTTGTTATCTTGTTATAACTGCACGTAGCATGGTTAGTAATACACGAGTCCAACAACAATAAAAATTACGAGAAATAGAATTCTCTGTTAGGGTCCCATATGCCTAGACTTCTGTTGTGGGCAGTGCCTATACTGCAACTTAAAAAGACTATCTTGACCTATACTAACTTAAGGTATCAAGAGTTTACAAAGCTTAATCAGCTGAGAATTTGACTACAGTGGGAAATTGGTAAAATTCTGTTTGGTGGGATACGTGATACAGGGTGGGAGGGGGGGGGGTACTTCCAATGTGCAGCACTGTGGGAGCACTCAGGTGATGTACTGTGGGAGCACACACGGTGACTCATAAAACATCAACTGTTGATAGTAGCGTGGACACGTGTCAACACAGGGCACCACTCGTTTACAAAACAAGGTCACAATTTGTATATATACGAATTATGTAGTTCATGGTGTCCAATAAATCGTATATGGGCGGTGTTGTGTTCCAGCGGTTTCCTCCTTACGGTTATTCTCTCCCAAACGACTCTAAAAACAGCACACAAATAAACTGCATTATCTGTCATTTAAGCACTGTTCATTAGACTTCCTGAGTAAATTATTGTTGACAGGCAATAAAGAGTACAATATGGGCCGCTAGACACTCGTCTCTTTTTCATTAACTGTCACGTTTGTTTGTTTGTACAAAATATTAATAATATACTTTACAATTTTAGATAAAACGAACAAACCAAAACTATGCTAGGATGAATAGATTGGTTGCGTTAGGTAAGGCTTGTCTGGCTCAGTGTCCAAAAGATAGTTTAGAGATATTGTTCCAGGTTCTTCTCCAACATTGTAAGTTATACGGGAGAAACTACCTACCCGTACTGTGACGGATTGTAATACACGTTTGTCAGGGTGAAATTCCTAATAGTGCGTTTATATTTATAATTGTTCAGTGTACAGTCACTCAAAAGACTCTCTACTCGGGGGGTCGATGAATTTCAGAAAGAACTCTACGACTCCTGTTGTCTCGGTAAGGTTGCCCAAATCCTTCGTTCGTTGAGTCATGTTTTTTTTTCAATACAATTTTGTACAGATAGTTTTTAAGTGACTGTAAATGGAGAGTTGAGTTTGCTGATTAGTGTATTTTATTTCCTAAAATTTTACACAAACACACAATCTTATGTTTAACTCACACGATCCGACTTACACACCAATGGTAGCGTTTAATTAAATTACTTGTTACAATTTAAGAATAACATACAGTAATGATGGATACTCTCTCTCTCTCTCTCTCTCTCTCTCTCTCTCTCTCGTCATTAACAAGCAACAAAACTTCAGGTATCGCGATAAATGAAAATCCAGGTGAAACATAACCGCAAAATAAAAAGTTTTCAAAGAATGTAGGTAGACTTGACAATCAAACGGCAGCTTAAATAAAAGAAATGAATCCTGACGAATGAAACAAAACTTTCACTCGTTAAAGAAAGTCCAGACT